GCTAGAGCAGTTGTTGCTTTGATGACAACATCTAAAAGTTTGCATTCTCCAAAACAAAAATAGTTTGAGGAAATGAAGAGAAACAACTGCTGCCTCCAGACCTTCACTCAGTAGTTTTTTCCCCTCTTTACAGGAAGAATTGGTCAAGACATTGCTCTTATTGTTTATTGTTTGTCTCACCTAACCAGTTGGCTCCTAACCAATTGAAAGGTTACCATGCTAAGAATGCTTTTTGAAAATGCATTTTAATGCCATATGTGGTTAGTAATGAAAAAGCACCTGCAACAAAAATCAACAAAGTAGCAGTACTAAAAAAACATCCATAGTTAAATACTACCAGAAGTTCAAATAAGCTTTCCTCCAGCACATTACAGATACTCAAGTAGATAAGTAGATGGGTATCTTTGATTGGGCATTGTATACAAAGCAAACCTGGCCTTGGAGCTGATTTGATCATAGAATTATAGAATTAGAAGGAACTTATGAGATCATCTTGTCCAACCTCTGCATACTACCATTCTCAATTATCCAGGCTTTTTTTTTTTTTTAATCTCTAGTGAAATGGAAGAAACTATTCCATGATGTGACTTGTTCGATGACTACTGTCAAGAGGTTCTTTCTAATGAGTAATCTAAATCTATATCCTTGAAGTGTTATCCTGTTATTTCTAATCTTCCAGTTCTAGTCTGACGTAAGTGATAATACATCTGCACCCTATCCAGCGTACCAGCCCTTCAGATATTTGAAAACAACTATCATGCCTCCTTTTTACCTTTAGTTCTATAAGCTAAAGACCTAGGTCTTTTAACTGTTCCATGCAGGAGTTGATTTCCAGTTCTTTCACCATCTTGGTAGACTTTCTCTAGGCCCCTTTTTTAAATTGGAGTGGAGCAGGCAGAATTGAGCACAATACTCCAAGTCAGGCTAACCGAGGAGAAATAATTACTTCTTATAAACTGGACTCTGTGCTCCATTTGATGCTCCTGTGGATGCCGCTGGCCTTCCTTGCAGCTGCATTACACTATTGGGATATGTTGAGTTTGTGATCTACTAATACACGCAAGTCCTTTTAACATGTGTTACTCTTGAGCTAGATTTTTCCTCCCCTGTGTATGTTTCTTGAATTTTTATTATCTAGATGCATGTTTATATTTCTCCTTATTAAATTTCATTGTTTGTTTCTGCCTACTCTTCTACCCTTTTTTGCACCCTCCCCTTTCTTTCCAGGTGTTAGCCAGCCCTCTTAACTTCGTATCATCTGAAAATTTGGCAAGCATTCTCTTGACTCCCTCATCATTTTATCATTTATAAAAACATTGAACAGCACCAGGCCCCGGATAGAGCTCTGTAGCACCCCACTCAATATGTCTCTCCAGGCAGGTTTGACATCTCGTTCAACCACCCTCTGAGTATAATCATTGAGCCAACTGTGGACTCCTCTAAGGATTGAGTTATCAATGCCATATTTGGCTATTTTGTTAATAAGGATGCCATGAGAGGCTGTCAGAAGCTTTGCTGAATCAAGATATACTATATCCAGGGCATTTCCCCAATTGACCAGGCTAGTAACTGTCATAAAAGGAGATCAAGTTAGTCTGGCATGATTTATTTACCATTAATCCATGCTGGTGCCTATTATTTAATGAATGCCTGTCTAAATGTTCACAGAAATGCTGTTTGATAACACTGGACAACAAAGATTTTGATTTTGGCTAATCATGAAAATAATTTATAATCTAATCTATCATGTACCGTTTTATAGAAATCTTCTGTTTTTGCACAATGGCACTGTAAACCCTTCAGTACCTGTTGGCTACGCTGCACACATAAAAGAAACATACATCAAGTACAATTATTGAATTGTAATAATGCTATCCCAAGTATATTTACTCAGCAGTAAATATTGATTCTAGTCCAATTTTTTAAATAGATCTGCTTTGAATTACGGTTTAAAATAAATGAAATCATACACCAACATGGAATTGTTGGTAAAAAGCGTGCTATACAAATGAAATTGAATAGACAGATAAGGAGTAGGTCAGCAAGCAAGTTACTCTTTATGAAGGTTTTTGTTACTATAAACAAATAAACAAAAATCTTGCCTTTTACATTTGATCAAAAGTTCCTATACTCAAAGCTTGGATAGTCAATAGTTGTGATGATAGTAGTAACACTAAGCTCGAACTGAAGAATTTGAGATATATAACACCTGCCCTCTACCAAGGAATTGTAAACTAGATATGAAAGAATAATCACTGCCCTTCACACCAGTGTATAGAATTCTTAATATTGCATAATAAGGTAAACATTTATTGATTCCTTTATTATATTTCTAATCTGCCTAATCCTGGATGGATTACAAAATCCCTACAATTTTTAAAAATTATTATTAATTTTTAATAATATTATTAAATTATTTTAATAATATAAATAAATTATTATTAAAGTAACAAATACTAAAAATACTACAACAAAAGTACAAATAATAAAGATCATAGGAAAAAAATAATGTAAAATACACTCTTTGAAAGCCATGGTGGTACAGTGGTTAGAATGCGGTATTGCAGGCCAACTCTGCCCACACATCAGGAGTTTGATCCTGACCGGCTCAAGGTTGACTCAGCTTTCCATCCTTCTGAGATTGGTAAAACAAGGACTGAAATTATTGGGGGCAATATGCTGACTCTATAAACCACTCAGAGAGTACTGTAAAGTACTGTGGAGTGGTATATAAATCTAAGTGCTATTGCTATTGCTTTCAGTCTGGAATAAAATCTAAAATAAAAAAAGGATAAAAAAAGGATAGCAATGCAGACACCAAGTATCTCTAGGGTGGGCATTTTTAAAATGAAGCCCCATATTGAGAAGCAGAAGTTGGCAGGGAAGTATCAACACGATCAAAATGGAAGCAGCCCTGAAAGATCCTTTTTAATATGCACTAGTCATTTCAGAGATATTTCCTTATCTATATAGAGAAACAGAATCACCAAAACCAAAAAGCAATAGAAGCAGGAACAACTTCCTGCCAGCTTGACTGAAATTGACTGTCCTCTGGCAGCTCATGGTACAATTGGTCTATTGGACCTCTGTAGGGCCAACCAGTCTACTTAATTTCCATTGGCCAAAGGAGGGGCCAGTCTATCTAACCTCCAGTAGGCTAAGCTTGGAATTGCCTACTGAACTTCCAGGCATGGTAACAGGGTAACACTGAAGTGACCACAAATTTGCCAAATTTCAATCCTACAGGCTAGAATAGAATACAATAGAATAACAGAGATGGAAGGGACCAGAGGTCTTCTAGTCCAACCCCCTGCTCAAGCAGGAAACCCTATACCATTTCAGGAAAATGGCTGTCCAATCTCTTCTTAAAAACCTCCAGTGATGGATCAACTACATCTTCTGAAGGCAAACTGTTCCACTGGTTAATTGTTCTCACTGTCAGGAAATTTCTCCTTAAGTAATGAAGTAATGGGTCCCAGATTTTGGATGTATATTGGAGGTACAAAAATTGTCCTATGATGCACTGTTTCACTAAGTTAAAGGTTATAGATACAAGAGTTTTAGTAGTATACAAATTATACACATACAAAAGGCAACTGAGCTTCAAACACCCAGTTGCGTCCACCATTTTTATTCGATTGACTCTCTTCCCCCATAACTGTCCTTGCTGAGAAGGCCTTTTCCTTGTGGCCATTTTCCTCAATTCATTTGACATGGCTGTTTGGAAATAGGTTTTGGAAGGTATTCATATAGCTGGGCAAGTTATTAGCAAAAAAAAAAAGAGGAGGCTTTCTTTGAGCTTGAAGCCATGAAGACCTTTGGATATTAACACTAAAACTATAGAGTAAGGATACAAACTAGAACAGAGGTGTCAAACTGGCAGCCCACGGGCCAGATGCGTCATTCACAGGCGACCCCCATCCCATCTCCACAAAGGGAAAAAATATCGTGAAATGTCACATGACAGCAATGTGCTGCCGCGAGTTTGACACCTGTGGACTAGAAGCTAGAACAGTATTCCTTTTTTTTTTAAATTTTTATTTATTTAAAACAGTACATCAAACAAAAAAGAAATAGTCAAACAAATGATCACGACAGAAACTTTACATGATATTTACGCTTTCTACGGTATGTAGGCTTCAGTCAAATTTAACAAATATTAAACACAGTCCTGGTTATACTTGACTTTTTGGGTGTCTGTTGTAGAACAGTATTCCTCAATTCCAGCAACTTTAATATGTATGGACTTCAGCTGGAGAGTTGAATCCTTACATCTTAAAGTTGCTAAAATACATAAAGTGTAATTTAGGGTTTACAAATGACTTGTTTGCATTCATCCCCCTCCCACCCCCATCCTTTGGATATTGACTAATTGGGAAGTAAATCTTACTACCTCTAGTCCAGCAGTACATCAGTACTTTAAGGAACATGACTGTAGAAATCATTTCAGTGATTAAAATATCATTATTGTCAGTTTCCCAAACAGACATGCTAGGACAAGCTGTGCAAACAATGGACAAAAAAAATGTCTGAGGTCTAGGATTATATGTATACAGATTTTTCTAGAACCAAATGACTCAGGCTGGTTCGAAAGCATGCTTTTGTACATGAGCAGACAATTGAACACAAATAGGTGATCAAGTAAATGCTTGCTTTCTTATGGGGCGGAAGCATATTGGAAACTTTTTTTTTTTTTGCTTGTATGAGGAAAGGGGAACAGACCAGTGAATTCAGCAACTAGGAAGCTTTATATAGAGCATTATAAACTGTGAAGCTGTAAATGAAAGAGTTGGGAAATTGAGAATGGTGAGCCCTCATGTCTTGTGTTCTATGTCCTTAGTGTAGGGTTCTTCAGATTTAATTGTTCAGAGAACAGCCAAAATGATAAATGAATTATTTGACCCCTCTTGCTTCTGTGAATATAATTATTTCATTTCAATTAGGGTTGGGCAGGAAATATATATAACTCTTGTATTTATTTGTTCATCTGATTTCTATAGAGAGAAGTTCAAAGTGATGTTTGTACTGCTCCTCCTCCCATTTTTTTTCTAACCACAGCAACTTTGTGAGGTCAGCTGAACTGAGGGAAAATGACTGGCCCAAAGTCACCTGGTGAGTTTTTATAGCTGACAGCAGACTTAACCTGGTTGGTTCTTATGACAGTCCAGTATCTCAACCTCTATACTACACTGGCTTCTTCCTACTTTCAATAACTCAGTTTATTGCTATAGGTTCACCAGGATTCTCAAATGTTTCAGTCCTGCAACTGTTCACCAGGGCTTGCAGAAACAAAGTGAGGAGCAAAGCTTGGAGCAGGTTCTGACAGCACTTCAATTCTGCTTGCACAAAGGTGATCAGGAGGGTTCCCCCCCCCCCCATAATTGTGATCCTTCTCTAAGTAACTTGTATCCCTACTCCCCTAGGAGATCACAACCCCTGACTTAGCTGTTGGCTAATTTGGATTGAGTAATGAATGTGGGCTCAAGAAACCGAGTTTATGGATAATACCATACTGGAAACACTTCAATGTGAGGTTTTAAGAGAGAGAAGGCGGGCTAGACTTCCAGGGTGTTAGGAAAGATTTGGAAATGGAGAAGATGGGAGCAGGGCAGAGGGCAATGTTGCCATTCATGAACTCATAGCAGGTCTGGTGAAAATTCTGTATTCTACCATTTTTGTTTTGCTTGAAGAAAAAACAATGACTGAGGTGGCAAGCCAGCTGTTAAACGGCAGTAAGCTAAAGCAAGCCCACATGACAAGGGAAAATTGTCTTCAGCTTGGTTTTGCTCCCTGCGTTTAGGCCTTCCTCTTATTCTCTTGAAGAAGCAACTGAATGATTATGGAATAGACATATGCACAGAGAGAAATTTAAAGCTCAAGGCTTAGGTTAAGGTTTAAATGTTATATCACCATATCAGCAACTGACCATGTCTCAAATAATGCTTGTTTTAATAGACTTGTGCATCTGTCCAATGAAGGAGGATACTGAACATCCACTGCAATCCAAAGGCACAGCTGTTTTGAGGCCCCCAAAGACACTTCCTCCAGAATAAAGGGGAAGTACAATGGCTCATCTAACAGTCTGCACAAACTATTTGTTAATGTTCTGTTTTGCTCCGGTGTTTTATAAATTAAAGTTTCTATCAAATGGTTTTCCTTCAGTACTATGTTCTTGGATAACAGAGCCATTTTGAAAACTAAATCTTTAAGGCAAAGTCCAACAGAAATTAAGTACAGCTAAGTCTCAGTCATTATAACTTGTCATGAGGTTCCACCTGATTTTTTTTTTCCAATATTTACCTAAGTTTCATATTGAACTTAGTATAATTTATTTCTGTTTCTAAATCCTACAGAACCTTCTCATTGTTTTCAAAACTACCCATAATTTTGCCACCCTTGCCCAAACTTTTACTATTTATATGGCTACTATGATCTTTGTTTGCATAGTCCATTCACAGTGAAGCTTTCCTCCAGCCACAAATTGCTCCACCTTTTCTCCTTGGCTGTCATTTCTGCCTCCCAGAATGTTTCCTTTAAAGTCCTCTTTAAAGTTGTTCATTGTCCTTCGTACAATTCACAAGTATCACTATTCTATGGTAACAAATCTAAATATGTCCCCTATTTACCTCCATTTCCTACCCATTCTGTTGACATTTTTGAATTATTTTCTAGGATATGGAAATATTGGCTACTGTCTGTTGGAATAAGGAATTGCAGTATGCTATGTGCATGTGTGCATTATACCAATAAATACTTTTTAAGCAATGAGGAATGTGTTTGTAAATTTCAGCAACTATTTTCTAAAATGTCCCCATAATATATTTCATGTTTTTTTAATAACTTTCAATTATGGTGTTAACTCTGACAGTATTTTTTTTCAGAATACTTAATAATTGCCCAGAAACAAGAAATTCAAGTAAAAGATTGAATCTTCCATCATGGAAGTATTATTCTCTGTTATTAAAAGCATTGCATATTATTCAAGGCCCGTCTTGTCCTGAGTCACATTAATCTTTTGCTTGGGAGAATGGATGTGGGTGTAGTTCAATTAGCAAAGGGTTTGAATTAAATCCTTTTTGTTGTGTTTTTAAATGTAAAAGTTCAAACTTTAAATACAAATCTGCATTTTGATTCTAGAATTTTCCCCTCAATATCAACAGACGGCACATCTATCTATCTATCTATCTATCTATCTATCTATCTATCTATCTATCATCTATCTATCTATCTATCTATCTATCTATCTATCTATCTATCTATCTATCTATCTATCTATCTATCTATCTTTCCATCTATCTATCTATCTATCTATCTATCTATCTATCTATCTATCTATCTATCTATTCACACGCGCACACACACGCACACACCAAATTATTTCTCTTGTTTGCAGTAATATATGGAGAAAATAAGCTGATTTTTTAGCATAACACATTGACAAATTCATTTCAGTCTGGTGAAATCCAGTCATCTTGTTACTATTATTATTATTTTTTACCCTTTGGTCCAATACTAAACTTTCTACCCCATTTGGATCTAATCTTGGATTCAGAATAGCATGATCAGCAGACTTGAAGAGTCTGGGGAAGTCATGAGAGCAAGAAAAGTTAAAGCAATTTAGCATCAGTGAAAAAGTAAAAGCAGAACTCAGGTTTATATTAACTGTGGGCTGTAAGTAGTGATTTTCTTGATTATGTGCTCTGCAGAATACTAAAAAAGGGAGATTATTTTTTTTGTGCCTCCTAACCAGAGAAAGTGATACATATCTTTCCAGTTGGCTCTTTCCCCAGTGCATGGGTATTACCATCACCTGCCTTCCCTAAATGGCTGTGAAATCTTGCCTCCTGCTTAAGACAGAACAGTTAGGTGGGTGGCCATAGATTTCTCACTTGGCTACCACATTCCAGTTGCATAAGGCAATGAAATGATGTGATTCATTTACTGTAAATGATGAGAAATCTCCTGGCTCTACATTTAAAAACAACATACTCCTCTCAGCACTGGGTGAAAAGCCAACCCACTAGACTTAGTCAACAAGAGACTGCATCATGTTTTCCCAAACAAATATCCGCAAGGGAATGTGGTCCTCCTTACTGGCTCTAGTGCCAAAGAAAAGCGAGTGTGTAGATTCACTTGAGGAACTTTCATTCTGATTTTCAAAAAAATCAGATGCAGACAGAACCTTGGTACAAACAGAAGCTGTAAATGACTTCAAAATTAGCAAGAACAGCCAACTTCTTGTGCTATTAATTGTCTCTGTCCAAAACAAGCGAATACTATAAAAAATATTTTCTTCCTATTTTCAAAAGCAAGGTTTTCCCACCTCATCTAAAATAAAATCGTTACTTGCTAACAATTTTTTTAAAAGCAATAATGTTTACCCTTCCTTTGCATTTCAATTAATAACTGAAGCTCTCCTAACTTTTAAATGTAAGAGCAGTCTCATAGAAGAAGCTTCTAAGAGCTATTTCAGGGCTGTCAAACCCCCAGCCAGCAGGCCAGATGCGTCAAGTGCTGGCCATGCCCACACCCAGTTTAGCTAAGGAGGAAAAGTCCCCATACGTCATGTGACGCCGCTGTGACGAGATGAGTTTGACACCCCTGAGCTATTCCATCTCTTCTTTCTTTTTTTCTTTCCCCTTTAGAAAACAAAGAGCAGAAATAATGGTATAAAATAAGGGAGAGATTTATAAATGGAGTATGATAAATTGAATTTCTCATAAAATTCTGGAAGTAAAACACCACTATTATACAATGAAAATTTTACTTGGGAGTATCCTAAATCGTTTCCTGACTTTTTCTGGAAAACCACAATAATTAAAAACAATGAGGACTGGGAAAGCAATACAGCTAATGAATATGTCATAAAAATATTCTACATCCTCTCCTGAAACTTATTTTCTTGGTTGTTGTGGGTGTGAGCTTCAACAACAACCAAGAGAATAAGCTGGGTTTATTCTAGATAAGAGTAACATCTGGTTTTGCTTTGTTTTGTCATGTTTACGATTTACAAAAAACAGGTTTCTGTTCTCTGCTGCCCATTATTTTTCAAAGGATTTCTGGTCTGTTGTATGATATTCCCATGAGGAAACTAATTTTGGAAGGATGTTAAAATATCGACACCACTTCCCTCAGATGCCCCATGCCATCTCCTGATAACCAGTGGTGGGTTTCAAAAATTTTTACTACCAGTTCTGTGGGTGTGGCTTGGTGGGCGTGGCATTGCTTGGTGGGTGTGGCTTGGTGGGCGTGGCAGGGGAAGGATACTGTAAAATCTCCATTCCCACCCCACTCCAGGGGAAGGATACTGCAAAATCCCCATTTCCTCCTGATCAGCTGGGACTCGGGAGGCAGAAAATAGATGGGGGCAGAGCCAGTCAGAATTTTTACTATCGGTTCTCCGAACTACTCAAAATTTCCACTACCAGTTCTCCAGAACTGGTCAGAACCTGCTGAAACCCACCTCTGCTGACAACCCTCTCTCCTTCAACTGGGAAGCTTCATTATAGTTAGGGTTTACTCAACAGGGATCTGGTTTGTTTAAACCAGTGTACTCCAAACTTGGGAACTTTAAGACTTGTGGACTTCAACTCCCAGAATTCTGGGAGTTGAAGTCCACAAGTCTTAAAGTTCCCAAGTTTGGAGACCCTGATTTAAATGTTGCCAGGGAAGTGGGAGTATATTTGGTTTTATATCTGTAAGCCACCCTGAGTCACCATGAGTGAGTTGGGCAGCCATATAAATGGCATCCATCCATCAATCAATTAATCTGCCTCACTTTTCCCGAACCTCAGCCCTATAGGAGAAAAATGATGAGCTTGGAGGTTGTGTCTGAGCACAAGAGAATAACATAATTCCAGATCACTGAGGAGCTGACCTGTGCTTATTCTTTGCTTCATGCCAGGTAGAAAAAGACCAATGAGTAGAACCACCCACTTCCACCCATGGACATTTTATCACTCACTACTTTACACAAAGCAGATCAGGGGTTCATTTTTCATTTATCTGTTTTTTAAATAATGTTACTCATACTGATCAGGCTGTCTGTACACACCACTCACGG